AAAAAAAAAAAAAAAAAAGCAGAGCCCTTGAAAACGAAAACCCTAATTAGTCCCATTAACAGAACCATAAGAAAACTACACCAGAGCGTACTTACAGCCGGGAAGCGCGTGTCGAGCTTCTTCCTCATGGCGTTCGACCTCACCGGCGATCCCAATTTCCGACCAGTTTTGCCGCAGAAAATTCGAAATCTTGACGCTTTCCAGCAAATTTAATACTGCTAAATAAATAAATAAAAAAAAAGAGCAAAACAAAACAGCAGATTCTATTTTACCGGACCCTACAACTCACCTTTACCTTTTACTTTGTTTTTTTTTTACAGAGTCCAAATTCAACTCTTTTCGGAAATTAGGGTTTTTTTAATTAATTAATTTCCCCTCTTTTTAATTTTTGTTGGATAATGTCGAAATTGTCTGTGGCGCTAGCGATGTCCACTGATTTATTGACACGTGTTGTGGAAAAAGTAAAAAGTCTTTATTTTTGGCTAATGTGAATGCGACACGTGGTGAAGAGTAGGAGAGAGGATATATGTTTCCGGAGATAACTTCATCGAGGATGACTTGGTCATTGGTCAAAACTCTGAATTATTAAATTATTATAATAATAAGTTGTGTAGTACTTATCTGATTCTAGGCAGAGAAGAAAATATATTTTTAACTCAACTCTAATTTAATGCACTTAATTTTAATTAATTTTTATTTCACATCATCTTTTTTTATACTTTTACGTCCAATTTACTTTAATTCTTTTATTTTAGATATCATTTTTATATTAACTTTTTTTTTTCGAAACGATAGAAGATATTATAAATCAAAAGCGCACAAAAGTGCGAATACAAGCAGCCAACGGCTGAAAAGTGGGAGGACAGGTCCGGAGACCGCCTAGAAACCCGGCTAGCAACCGCTAGGAAGAAAAACTCGCGACTGAACTAAACAACTAAACAACAAAGACCCCAACAAAGACACTAACAACAAAAACAACTACACAAGACCCCAACAGGGTAATACCGAAATGTCAGACCCCAATTGGAGTAATAAATTTGACACCCGGATGCACTGAGGCCAACGGCCCAGACCCAAAACACGATCACAAACACTAAAACAAACACAAAAAAACAGACAAAGAAACATGAAAATAACATAAATAAAAAGGAGCCCTCCCCCAGCGAGCAGACAAATCCAACCAGCAGTGAACGATGGACACAAGAAAGATCCCTGCCCGAGAATCCGCTACCGAAACTGCGAACTGCCTATACAGTAGAGAACACCGAGCCCCGAACCGATCCCAGAATCGACTCATCCTCAACCGAAAGAACCGCAGCCAACCTTCGCACCAGTCCCACCCGAAATCGACGATCTCGGGAGACCCTTGTAACCGCCGCCTAACACCACTAGACAAACGGCTCAAGCGAAAGAAGAACCGCGCCTTAACCCCAGCCACCGCGACCACCGGGCCACGGCAGTCAGAGCCCCAGCCCCTCTCAAAATTCGCGCCGCCCCAAACACCCAAAGAGCACCTTCGACCGAAACCCAGCCCCGCCGACATACCTCCACGGAGCTGCTCTCGCCGGCAATTGGGTAAAAGACCCGAAATCCCCAGCAAAACACCGCACCAGAAAGCCGCCGCCGACTTCCGAATCCACCGCTCCCGCTAAGCGACCAGTCCCAGTCTCGACTTACTAAGAACCAATGTTTTAAAAAGCACATTTTAGCGCGCTATATCGCGCGCTATAGCGCATATTACATAAAAAACATGCTGTAGCGCTAATAATTTCACGCAGTTCCACAATAGCGTGCGCTATATATGACGTGGCATGTTATACACGCAAAAACATGCGCTATACACGCGAAAACGTACATTGCGTACGCTATTTGGGTTCAATTTTCATAAGCAGAAAAAAAAAGATAACTAAAATCAAAGCCAGTGTTTGAGCGTTAGTCACAAAAAAAACCTCGTTCACGCATCTTCTTCATCTCCTTCTCAGCCTCTTCTCTACAGCAGCCTCCACGACCCACCGCATGTTGGATAATTGGTGTGAAATCACACGGGAATCCTACGAACTGATATATATTTTTCAGTTCTTACAAATAATCTAAAAAATAGAAAATTACAATTGAACTTAAAATAATTACAACTGAAAAAATGGAAAGATTTTAGTCGAGACGAGTAAAACTATTTCCGCAAGAAGAATACGCTCCGTGTGTCAGCTAACAGTTCAGGCGTAATTCCCCAAAGATACAATGGCAAACGTCTCTAAATCTGTAGCACACCAGATTTACGAGCTCCGGCAAACGAGAACGGAATCGAGAATTGAGCACTTAGAAATAAAAGGAATATTCTGAAACTAATAGAAATATCACTTGTTTCTTCTCTTTTGATATTTTTATATCCGATATTTCGACATATATCTTTCTTTTCTTTCCTTTCTCTTTCTTTCTTCTCTCTTTCTTTCTTATTTTTGGTACGTCTTTCTATTCTGGTCGAATGCCTTTTTATAGGGGAGGATTAACTCCCCAATTGAAATAAAAATATATTTATTTTTTTATTTTAATACAATTTGGCCAATGAGCATGTGGGCAAGTGGCAAGTGGGCAAAATTTAAGGCAAAATTTTAAGATAACCACAAGATATTAAAACTATTTCATTCCTACAAGGTGGGTGTTTTTATTTGCATCTATACCTAAAAAATAGATTTATTTGGGTTCCTTTTTTTTTTTTTTTTGTCAAACGATAGGATATATATTGAATGACTAAAACCGGAAATCAATCCGAGAGTACAAATCAAACACCTAGCAAGTACAATGGGAGACACACTTGTGAAAGTGGTCTAAATACAAAACAACCATATAGATAAGGCATGGATGCAACCAATGAATCTTTATATATACAACAAGAACAAGAGCTACACAAACTCAAACCCAAGAAACTAACTACTAGAAGGAAAAAGACCAAAAGAAAAGCAGAGAAAGGAAAGACCAAAAGCAAAGCTAACTCCTCACAACAATGAACTCTTGCCACTCTCTCAATGCACCCTTGACCACCACCTCTTCTGGCATCCACACTCTCTCAAACATCCATAAGTTCCGAGATCACCAACGCCACCATAATATATAGGTTGAGAGTTGTATCCTATCTTCAGCAATTTCAAATTTGTTTACAGCACACACTTGGTTCTACCACAGCCTAAAGGACTACTTTCCTACTACTTCTCCTTCTCATTGAACTTGTGATAACTTCCACACTAATTGAGCTCTTCTACATGAAATAAGTAAATGCTCCACTGACTCAGCTTCCTCACCACACATTCTGCATAAGCTCTCTACCTCTATACCTCTGTTCTGCAGATTTAACCCTACTGGCAGAGTGTTGTTGTAGCACTTCCATAAAAAATGCTTCAGCTTCCCTTTTACCTTCAACTTCCAAGTTGTAATCCTGGTTTTAGTACCTACATTCTCTTCACTCCTACATTCAGCTGCATCAAGTTTGAGAATTTTACTCTTCATCAGTTGTCCATATGAATTTGCTACAGAAAACTGCCCTTTGGTATCCAAGGTCCATCTCCATGTGTCTGCTTTAGAAGGATCTAATGTATTGATGCATTGAATAACAATCCTGTCTGATTCAGAGTACATATCTCTCAGCAAATTCTCATTCCATCAAAGCCCAGACTCATTCAATAGATCACTGACCCAAATGACTTCTTTATTGTAGTCTGGCTTTGGTTTAGGACAAGAATGTCCCATCTTGGGAACCTAGTTGTGATCAAGGATTCTGGTGTCTCTGCCATTATACACTTCCTTCACCAACCCAGAAGCCAAGAGAGGAATTTATTCATCCCATTTATTCCACATCCAAGACTAGATTGGCCTCTTTTCACATCAAAAATGGAGGAAGAGGGGAAATGCCTTTTTTTATCACCTTGGTCACCAACAGGTCAGGTTTTGTAGTTATCCTCCACAACTGTTTAAGAACAAGAGCCTCATTTAAGATTTTGTAATCATGGAACCCAAGCCCCCTTTTGTCTTTAGGAATAGTAACGCATCTCTATTTTTTCCAATGCAATCCTTTCTCATGCCCTTTGCCCTTGCTCCACCAGAAGAATGTTGTGATTCTGCTCAGCTCATCACATATACCCAAAGGGAGTTTGAAGCGTGACATTGTAGAAACAGGTAAGGCATTGATGACTTCTTTAATCAGTACCTCTTTACCAGTTGTTGATAGATGTCTGCTCTTCGAGTTGGACAGACTATTTTTAACTGCTTGAACCACATATTCAAAGGTCTCTTTCTTAGACTTCCCTATTCCCAAGGGTAGCCCCAGATATCTGGTAGAATTATGGACTTGAATCCCCTCCATCATTGAACATAACCCATTGATAACATGCTGAGGAGTGTTTCTTCTAAAAAAGACTGTAGACTTGGAAAGATTTACCTTTTGTCCTGAGAAGCATTGATAGATAGCCAAAATTTGAAATAATCTCCTAACTTGCTCAGAATCAGCTTTGCAGAAGACAAGGGAGTCATCAACAAACAGGATATGAGTGAGTGTATGTCCCCCTCTAGCAATTCTCATCCCCTTAAATCTGCCACTCTCAGCTGCTCCTTTAATCAGAGAAGAAAACACTTCAGAAATTATAAGGAATAAGTAAGGAGATATGGGATCTCCTTGCCTAATTCCCCTGAAAGGATTAATGTAACCTGATGTATGACCATTCACCAAAAAGAAAAGGAAGGGGATTTTACACAAGCCATCACCCAGTTGACAAAGATCTTATCAAAGCCCATCTTGATCATAGAATTACTGTAAGTTCTGAAGATTGGCAGTAAATCGATGAACCTTCCGGTGTTCACAGGATTAAAAAATACGCGAGAATATTTAAGGGAAGTTTGCATTAGTTTGAAACGGAAGTATTTTTTATTTATTATTTAATAATGATAAAAGTATTGTTTTGGCAGGTCCATTGGAATAATCTCGGATTCACCTTCCTTAATCGCAAGAGGAAGATTGTTGCTTCAAATAACTTGAGACCTTCCTTATGAGTATTTAACTTGAGCGCAAAAAAAAAGGAGTAACTTACCAAACGAAGTTGAAGTATAAAAGGAGGACGAGACACGAGTTGAGGACGACTTTTTTGAACCTTTGATTTTTATTTATTCTAAGTACTTTTGTGTTCCTTGAGGGTGTAAGATTCTTATATACATTATTCTATAAATCTGTAACAGAGTGTTCGGAGGTTCATTCTATTTTAATTTGAGGGATTCGAACTAAGAAATCCACAAGGGAGTTGTGGTCAGATAAGTAGTTGTGTGGATCTCTATTCAAGTAGAGTGTAGAGGGAGTTTATACTGTAAACCCTTGGATAGTGTTTGAGTTATTCACATTAATGAAAGAGATCTGAAGGGAGAGAGGGACGCTCTCCTGAAGGTTCAATTTTAGTGAAAACTGCTTCCACAATTGATTGAATCTTCTTTACTATTTGTTTGTTCTATTTACATGCAACTTTAGATACTTGGTGTACGAGTATGAAACTACAATTACAGACACATCCCCACTCCACTCTGTCATATGCTTTAAGCATGTCCAATTTCAGAGCCATGAAATGATTTCCCCCTGACCTGTGTCTGTTTAGAAAGTGAAAGCATTTCTGGGCTATAACAACATTGTTGTCTACCTGGTATGAAGGCAACCTAAGATTGGCTAATGCAGACATCAAGGCAAGTTCTCAATCTGTCTGCCAATATTTTGGCAATAATTTTGTACACCACACCACACAAACTTATAGGCCTAAATTGAGATAAGGATGTAGGATTCAAACATTTTGGAATTAAAGCAACAAGAGTGCGATTCCAGTACCTCAGAAGTCTCCTTGATTGAAAGAAACTAGTTACAGCCTTACAAAGATCCTCCTTGAGAACTGGCCAAAAGTGTTGGAAAAACAATGTTGTCATTCCATCCTCCCCTAGAGCCTTTGAAGGATTCATTTGAAAAAGAGCTCTCTGAATCTCTAGTTCCCCAACTGAAGAAGTTAATTTGCTGTTCATCAGAGGGATAATAACTTGTTCAATAAACTGCAGAGCCTCTGTATCATAACTGGTACCCTCAGAAGTAAACAGATTGGAGTAGAAGTTCCCCACTTGCCTTTCAATGTCAAACTGAGATTGGTAAATTCTATCTCCATCCACTAACCTTGAAATAGCATTCTGCTTTCTTCTTTGCACTGTCATGGCATGGAAGAACTTGGTATTAAGATCCCCCTCCTTGAGCCATAATACTCTTGACTTCTGTTGCCAAAACTGCTCCTCAGAGCAGTGAGCACTATTCAGCTTCTGTTGAATCTTTTTCCACTCCTCTCAGTTTCTATCTCCCCCCAATCTTCTCATCTCCTCCAACTGTAAGGTGAGTTTCTCAATGGTTTTCTTATTCTCCGTCTTGTTTACTTTTGCCCATTTGTAGAGAGCCACCCTGGTTTTCTTAATTTTTTCCTTAAGCCTGAACATGGGGGTTGCCAACTCATCCTCTTCCCAGGCATTTTTTATCACCTCCTCCACCCCCTCCTTTTTTAGCCACCTCTTGTCAAACACAAACCTTCTCTTACACTTAGGCCTGTTGTTACCATCCTCCAGCAATAGCATGCCATGGTCAGAGGCACTCAAGGACAGGTTTGCAATATTAGCTTCTGGATGTTGGAGCATCTAATTCAATGAGGCAAACCCCTTATCAAGAACTTCTTCCACTCGGTTGTCGCCCCATGTGTATTTTATGGCCCTCCATTCTCAGCAGACACATGCCCATGAATGTTATAAAGTTGTTGAACCCTTAAAAACTTTCTGAGATCTGATTCTACCTCTCTTCTTCTCTCTAAGCTGCTCAAATCATTCCAATCACCAATAATGATCCAGCTGTCCCCCCAGTTCCCTTTATCTATTAAAAGAAGTTCCCACTGCTTCTCTCAATCTTGATTAATGGTACTGAT